GTGCCACCCCCCAGATTTCTGCACCCACAGTGGGGCACGGGGCTGCAGCTGGGCCAGGCCAGCTCCGGACAGGAGCCACCTTTGCAGCCCAGCAGATGAGACCTGGCGCAGAAGGGAGTACTACACTGCCATGTTCGTCAAGGTGAGGTGCCCCCTGCCCGCCCGGCAGCAGCGGGGACACAACTCCACGTCACTGCCACACCTCACCTTGGGGGCCATGGTGGTGCAGCGCTCCAAAGGGGGAACCACACCTCCCAGGCATTACAGTGCCTTCTGCTGGAGCCTAAGGGGATTCTTCAAACTTATCCAGCTCCCCCTGTAGGAGCTGCACACACCCCTACTGCAGTGATTCTCAACTAGGGTTCCACAGCACCCTGGGGTGCCTTGAAATCCTTTCAAGAGTGCTGCATAATGTTAGCAGTTTGGTGTGTAAATATGATTCACCAGATAAACACAGAAATTGCGAAAAGGAATCCATACTGTTAAGACATCTTGCCCTGTTGTGGTATTTCTGAATTCTTCACACCAGAAAAGTTGCTCTATTATTTTTCCACAGTCAAAAACAAATTAAAACTAAGAGCTGACATTTTCTGAGGGGTGCCTCAAATCTAATGAGGGGCACCGTAAGCCTAAACGGGTTGAGAATCACTGCCCTACTGCTGGTGACCTCAGCACTACATGACACATCAGTGCCATTCTGAGTTCCCTTTCCTAATGCAGGCTGGAATACAGATCACATTGCAGAGTGAGCTGTAAAGGAGAATGTAACAGCACCTGCTCCTGCCAGAGCAGCAAGGCAGCTTACTGATCACACTAGCAATGCACACTGTGGATCATCCTTCCTCTTTCCATTTTACATTGGTGGCCTAGTATGCTGGAACACAACAAACAGCCCAAATGAAACTGTGTACTAGGTCAGGGGTGACTGGTGCCTCCTGAGTCTGGGGAGGCACAATTTGTAGGTGGGCCAAAAGTCCAATATCCACTCCTATACTTCTATGCCACGGCTTCGTGTCCCCCATCCCCCAACACCACTGGCCCATGTGGCAAAAAAAAAAGCCCTGTCCTGAGCGATGCCGAGTTGGGGGCCAATCTCAGGGGGGACATGCCTCCTTCCCATACCCCCTCTACCAGTTGCCTGTGTACTGGGTTATGTCTGAAAGAGCTGGATCACAACATATTGGGAGCACAAAGAGGAGCCCTCAGCACAAGGCCCTTTAGGGGAGAAGGGACTCAGCTTTTCCTCTTTGGTGACTTTCCTCTCCCAGCTCCTCTACTTACACGCAGCACTGGAGAATTCAGAACAGTGGTTACAAAAACAACCTACTCTGGAGGAAACCCGCATCACTCACAGTGCTTCTCACCTGCAGAGCACCAAATGCATGGATCCTCTCAGCACTACCTGAGGCACAGAAATCAAGTGACTTGCTGAAGGCCACACAATAGGCCAGAACCCTGAATGCAATCCCAAACTCCTCTGCCTAAACAGGGAGTTACATTCCTAGTTAAAGCACTTTCCATATACTCCACCTGACAAGAGCAATGCAACACAGAGTCAACTCCTCTATTGCTGCAGGGTAACAAAGTACTTAAGGGCTGCACTGCATGGATGGCAAATAGGCACAATGGGAACCAGAACTCCTTGCAGTGAGGACTGAACATGCACATGCTTCTGGTTTAAAAAAAAAAAAAAAAGCCACCAAGTGGGTCCCAGAAGCATATCTCAGATCACAAGTTGTGAGTGAAGTGCAGAAGTCCACCCTGCTCTGTGCTCATGGAGGGGGTGTCACAAGAAGAGGTGATTCCAGAGTTGTTTAGGAGGTAAAGGACCTACTTAAGAGTGAGGAAATGGGACAATGCTTTTGGCCACTGAAGCAGTCTGACTGGAGAGGAGCTTCGAAAGGACATGAGAGGCAGCAATTGCAGAGACTGGGACAACTCTCCTAATGCATCATGTGCTATGGAAACAAACACCCTCTAAAACCAACTGGGAGTTGGTACTTAACTCTCTCCAGCTGCTTTGAAAGTCCCAAGCTTTATGCATATACTCAGGGGTCTCAGGTTGCTTAACAAAACATTTAGATCCAATTCACCTCAGTGTAACTACGCTGACTTCTTTGGTGTTCTGATAGGAACGAGCCTGGGCTTCAACAACTATCGGAAAGGCAATGTGCTCCACTTCTTTGCTGATATGACTGAAGGAGGACTCTCTTCCTTCCCTGACCCCCCCAACAATGAGCCACAACCCACATACAAACTCAAAGCAAACGCTGACCCCGCCCCCCACAACTGGGCACCCGCCATGTGGCTCTGAATGCAGAAAAGAAAGGGAGCTTGGTAGACACTTCTACCTTGGTCTCCTGGTTGTTTTTGTTCTCGATGCCATAGATCTCCTGAAGCAGGTAGCTCACCCGATCCACCTAGGGAAATAAGAACCATGGTCTTAACTCTAGAAGGTCAGCATCTCTGTTTGCAGCTATTCAGTTTCTATCACTTCACCAGACCCGAGTTAATGGAATGAATGGGAGGTCTCCCGAGGTTCCGTGCTACAGGATAGGGGAACTGGCACTCACAGGTACACCGATCTAAACAAACCATGCAAAGAACAGAGTTTGTGGTAAGCCATGATTCCCTCCTGCTGTACACAGCACAGCCTCCTATTCAGACGGAGCAGAAAAGTTAGAGCTGGGTGAGACAGCAACAGGGAGGGGCCATTTCAAATGCAGTCAACAATGCTGCATCTCAAAATCGACAATGCTTATTTCAGGTTTGAACCCAAGATTCAAGCTAGCTTTGATTGGATCTGCAGGCACTCAGCACCTCTCAGGTTTAGGCCTTTTTTCTGTGAAGCACTATTAATCTTTATCTGAGGAAGGCCGTGCAGTATTTCAAACCATCCCAGTACAAAAGTTGAATAAAAGGTCTTGCTTCTCCAGTACTTCAGCAATGCCCTGCCAGTACCCATTAACATCACCTACATGGCATTGCTGTGGTATTTCATTGTCAGATACCATAACAAACCTACACCAATCACAGCTAAAACAAGTCTCCCTCAGGCCGGAAACTGCTAATAGCTACATCATGCGAGAAAACCACTTCAGTGGTTAGATATGTGGGGACTATGTTCTTTGAGTGCCGTGTACTTTAAGAGCTCACCTACCAAAGCACTCAAGCACCCCTTGAGAGGGTCTTTGTAACAGACTCCGTTTTTTAACACTGCATGTGGGCAATTACTGGGATAATATTTGCAGGCAGGAAGACAGAGTTGGCAAACACAGTAACAGGTTATGGATTGTAATGCAGCTGCTTGTACATCCTTGGCCTTGTTCACGTGCTCAACTTAATGTCCATCTACATAGCAACCTGTGGAGAAGTTGGGTCAGCAGCTGATGTCATGGCACTTTAGTCCAAAGAGCCCTTGAACAGGATGGGAGGATAACTCTGAGTCCCAGGTTCAGTTCATACTAGGGCATTTTTTAGGTCAATTCCCAGATAGGAAAAGCCCTCACAGCACCAGGAGATAGCCAGGGGAAGAATCCTTTCTTCTATATGTCAGGAAGGGTTGTGGGAGAAGAGCTGGGAACCAAAGAAGGGAAAGGAAGAATCAGGAGTCAGAAGGAAGAAGAAAAGCAGGAACACCCAGAGCCACTGTGCTAGCAGATACAGTTTTACTCTCACCCAAGCCTTCTAGGCAAAAGTGAAAGCTCCTTAGTATTATATGCAGCCAATTAATACTGCAATTTGTTGATGATGCTAAACAGTGGTCTCTACCAAAAACAAAAAGTTTAGAGCAAGCCTCTCCTGGCCACCCTGTGAAAAGTCTAGAGAGTAAGCTAGTGGTGGGGTGGCCTTTAGTAACACCCAGATTAATTCTTCCTACACATGGGACACAGAAATGCTTTATTTTATGTCCAGAAAGTGACCATTTGACACTGTGCTGCACCAAGATGCAGGCAAAGTTGGATGATATCCATGCTGCTTGCCAATTTAAAACACTCTGACTTGGGGCCCAGCAGCTTTAACAAGCTAATTCCATGGTCTCACCATTTAACTCAACATGCAGCTTACAGACCATCCACTTTAGGGCTGCATTTCAAAGCAATGAGATCAGTAGTTGAGATTGAAGTGAAATCCTCCCTAGTGGCTCCCAGCTCTGGGCAGGGAGTTTTAGAACTATTGTGTGGAAACAGTCCCATTTACAGCGAGACATTTCAGAGAGGGTCCTGTTACAACATCCTGATTCTCTGGACCAATCACAGTGCGCGAGAGTGCAAAGCAGTCAGCTAGGAGGGTGTACAATGATGGGGTCACTGGCCCTTGATTCAAAGCAAGATTCTACAGCCCATTTATAGAAATGCCACATTACAGTATCAATTAGGATTATACCATGATTAGAAATGGACAAAGCCCAAGGGATTAGGAAATCCACCCTTTTGCAACACGACTCCACCAAGAGACCTTCAGGTGTTAAGACAATGCCTGATTTCAGCCAACAGACTAAGAGCAAATCAGTTCAAATCATTACCTGCAGCCACCAAACCTTCAAAGAGCTTATGCTAGGCTGTCAGAAGTTCTCAGAGAATATCAGATGGTTACAATGGCAGGGTGGAAAAGAAATAAACCTAGTGGTAGTATAAAAAAAGTTTAACTAATACACCCTCTCCTCCTCCCCACACTTTATTCCAAATAAGCAAACACCCTGCTTTTTATCTTCTCTTTACAGTCTGAGAAGTAGGCTGATGCCATATCAGTTCCAACCATATTTAGTGTTCTTACAGGAGTAGCTTACAAGTCTATTTAAAAACCAGGAAACATTATGGGAGGGACTCCTGTAGTCCTAGATTTTATGAACTGCCAAAAAATCTACAGCAATAAGTGGGAAGGGAGAGAACTCTGCCTGAGAAATGAGACGCACATTATTTCACATTAGGAGTGGGCTAACCACACTGTGGTAGAATGGAAACTGTCCCAGAGACCAGTTGTAAGGAAACAGTCCTCCATTTTAGCAGACTGAAGTACTGAAGGGGAAGCTGAACATATGTAGTTTTAGTATATGCCATAACAAACATTTATTTAAATAAATCGCTGCCATGTGAGCTCTGCCATCAGCAAGCTTGGCAAGAAGAACACACTTTTTTGTGAGCTCATGAATGCAACATTTCTTCCTGCTTAAAATGAAGATGAAGATGATGCACTGCTGATTTCACTGTGCTCTGCTCCTTCAGAGCCGCAATGCAGTCTCATAGACAGAACCTCTCTCCTCTCCCCACTCTAGGTATGTTTCAGGATTCTCTAACTCACAAGAGATTACTTAGGATTCTCTACTTTTACTTCAGATTTTCCCTTTCTTTCTCTTCAGAAACATTCATTTTGCTTTCTGAGCTTTCTTTTCCCCACGCCTGTGTTATATGTATTTAAGAGCTGCAAATACAGGACACAGAAAAGATCGCATTTTAATACAGCCAAATGCAAAGTTATGCATTTAGAACAAGGTCCAGTGGCCATAACTAAAGAATGGGGAACTATATTCTGAAAAGCAATGACTGTAAAGGATTTGGAGGTCATAACTAAAGAATGGGGAACTATATTCTGAAAAGCAATGACTGTAAAGGATTTGGAGGTCATACTGGACAAGCAGCTCAGTGTCTCAGTGTCATGCTGTCCAAAAATGGTAACAAATCTTTGGCTGTGTAAATAGGGAAGTAGTATGCTGAAACAGGGAAATGATTTTCCCTACTGTAGATAGCATTATTAAGACAAACACTACAAAACTCTCCTGTTCTGGGGACCACAGTTTAAAAAAACATTTAAAAACTGGGACATGTGAATGGAAGAGCCAAAAATGATTCACAAGCTGGAGAAAATGCCTACACTGAAAGGCTTAAGGAACCTGGCTGCTTGTATTAACCATAAGAAATTTGGACTTGACTACCAACTACAAGCACCTTCATGGGGAGAAAATGCTGGGTATTGAAAGGCTCTTTAATCTAGCCAAGAAAGTTGCATTACAAAAGAATGACTGGAAGCTGAAGTCAGACCAATTCAAATGAAAAGTAAAGCATACATAAACAGTAAGGAACAAAAAACACTGAAACAAACTACAAAAGAAAGTGCTGGATTTTCTATTTCTTGATGTCTTCAAATGAAAATTAGATACCTTTCTGGAAGAGATGCTTTAGCCAAACAAGTTTTGGGGCTCAACACAGGTATGACAGGAGGTCAGACTTGATGATCCAAAAGTAACATCCCACCTTACACCACATATCCACAATACTTAGAGCAAGAATTGAGCTATGGAGAACCTGTGGTCCATCCTTCTAGCATGGCCCCCTCAGATGAAGTTGTTTTCCTCAGTAATTGAATTTTTAAATGAACATCTTAATGGTAGCATGAAATAGAGATTTGAACTCTTGAAATTTAGGTTTTTTCATATGGGTTCAGAGAGGTAGTTAGCTGTATTAGTCTGAGGTCCGGCAGAAGCTGAGTGGCACCTTAAAGACTAATGAGTCTTTATGACTAATAAATTAGCCTCTAAGGTACCATCTTGCCCTGCCTTCTACATATGGGTTTAGTAAAGGAAAGCTCTTCAAAGTCAAGACAACACCTTTTTCAGAACATCTTCCACAGTGCTATACTGTGCTTCAGCCACTTACTCTGTGTTGGCTCCAACTACTCTGCAAAATGGCCCAGCTCTGATACAGACCACATAGGAACTTTATTTGAAAGCAAGTTTCCAAAATGTGTTCAAGAGTCAGAAGCTTATTGAGACCATCTGTTTCAAAAGAAGCCAAAATCTAATTTGCTTTACTGTTAGGAAAGCTTCCTGGTGTGAAGCCTATAGTTTTCTTTATACTAGCTGGGCCCCTTTGTTGGCAGACTCTACAGAAACAACAAGGTTTAAATGGGCCTGAGACTAAATTCCTCCCTCTCATTTTTATGATCCCTCCTAGTCAAGGTTATACTGCTACTCCCTGGGCTACAGGTCAACAAAAAATGAAAAGTTTTATATCCTATTGCAAGTCCCTGAGCAATCCATTTTCCAGAGCAAGCCTCTTGCTTCATGGTTAAATTAGAAGAAAGGTTCTCATAAATCCCAGTCTTCATGCAAGTCTTGCAGAAGCAAGTGCTGGCAACCCAGCCCAAAGAGGATGCATTTGATGACTGAAGATAAGAAAAGAAAGGTAGATAGCTATGTTAGTTCGAAGTCAGGAAGAAGTCAGGATAGATTTGTACTTTATAGACTAACTAAATCAGAAGTGTATAGCATAAGCTTTTGTAAGCAGAGGGCTTACTTAACCAGATGCTATGAAAGGATCTTCTCAACGTCTGATGAAATAAGCCTTCTGTTTATGAAAGCTTATGCTAAAATAAGGACCCAGCCAGCCCAGTCAGATGTACCATTTTAATAAAAGTATTTACTGAGAACAAGTGATGGGGGTAGAAATAAGATCACTAGTGAGATCACCAGCTGGAGAATCAGACAGGCAAAATTAGTTAATGTTTGTACAGCACTTTGATGATGTACCCTGTTACTGTATATAAATATTAAGTAAAATGATTATCACAGATCAAAGGCAAAATCCACCATTCAGAATGGCAGTTCATTAGTGACAGCCACATCAGACCAAAGCATCACATCATCTTTTGTGTTTCTGGTTCTTTTTACCCTGTCTGTCTTTTAAAGGAAAAACAAACAAGACAACGCTACGTTACAGAAAAGGACACCTAAAAGCCATAGAGTTTTTAAAATATCCTCCATCTGCCAATTTCTCTCAGATCATCAATGCTGAGAGCTACAACAGGTAGTGTCTAAAATAGCTCTGGAAAAAGGAAATTCAATCAAAACCACTTATGCTACTGAAGCATCTGCCAAAGAAGAGTAAACCCCTGCCACCAAAGTCATGGGAAGCTCTAAGTCAGATGTGGAGATGAAGAAAGGAAATCACTATAGCCAAAGGCATGCATAGGGGAAGAAATGGTTAATACATTGGACATCACAGGGGAAAAGAGAGAAGAGGGAGGATGTGTAAATCTTTGTTGTGTTTGTACAGCACCAAGCACAAGAGGGTCCTGGTCCAGATGCTGCTGCAACACATGTATAAATATTATGGTGAATACTAATACAGAAGAACTGAGAATGTATACTAGCATGGGTGAATGCCTTGGCCGAGGGCAAAAAGGATGGGCTGCAACTTCAAAATATAAAGAATGTAACAGAAGGATTTGGGAAGGGAAAAAATGAAAGATCAAACTAGACACTAATACTGGAACAATTTGATGATGGAAAGGACAATGAGGCTGATAGCAATAAGACTGAGGAGTCAGAGGAGAAAGAGCTAGTTGGTTTTTCCCATGCTATAAGCCCTATTGTTGACTGCAAAGAATTCTGATTTTAACTGGCCAGCAGCTCTTTCTAAACTCCATTTCACTGTAGCCCTCTCCAGCTGGTACAAGATCTCATAGCTCTTTTGAGACCATGCATCAGCTTAGTATCAGCTAGCTTCCCACAAGTGGAGATGACATCAATACTCTTCACAAACAAGGGCATCTTACATCTGCAAGGGATCCTAAGTATCCAATGTAGTATTGTATAGACATCAGATCTGTCCCCAGGTGAGTTAGAACAGCTCATTACTGGTTTTCTACCAACTCAGCTCAGCATCTGCCTCCTTCCAGGCCTTGTACCTCAGATGCAATCAAGACACCTTTATATGACGTTTTCAGCGCTTATTACTCTGACCAGGCAGCATCCAAGCTGGTTCTGCCAAGTCACTCGGGACTAGCAGGAGGATGGACAAGATGTACAAATAGGTCTTTTCCATCTCTGCTTTGTTGCAGTTTCTCCCAGGTTTACATTACCTGCATGTGGACTCAGTACCCACTCATTCAGATTTCCTAGGACTGCTCCTCAGATATCAGCATCCAGTTGCTTTCCATTTTTTAAGTGAAAAAGGAAGCTTAACATATTGCACAGAAAAAAGCCCTACAGAGATCCCTGCATCACTTGAAAAAACCCAAAACAACACAGATGTGTCAAGGAAAAAGTAGTGGTGACCATGTGCCTAGCACTAGGGTGGCCAGACTGGGACCCACAGTTACACTTTTATATCCTCTCTCACACAGCGAAGAGCTAAAGCAGGGGCAGGCAATTACTTTGGGCGAAGGGCCGCTTACCGAGTTTTGGCAAACTGTTGAGGGCCGCATTTCCCTTTCCGGCACAGGGAAGCAGGAACAGCCCCATGCCCCAGCCCAGAAGCCTCTGCTAGGCAGGGGTTTCTGGTTGGGGGGCAGGGGCGGGGCAGCCCTTGCTGCTGGGCCCTGCCACTAGCTTCCTCTGGATCCTACTGCCCCTGGCTCCTGTCATCTTTGACAGGCAGCTAGGAGCAAATAAATATTAATTTTCTAATTTTCAGGGGCCCCACAGGCCAGATAGAATGGTCTGGTGGGCCGGATCCAGTCCCCGGGCCATATTTTGCCCACCGCTGTGCTAAAAGATCCAGAGTGGATTATGATCAAGTGAGCCTTGCGCTGTCTGACACATCAGCAGCAGTCCAAGTAAGACAAACCGGTTTTAAACTTCTCAAATGATGCCCCTGACTTGCTGAAGATTTAAATACCATAGATATTTCTAAGGAACTGAGTGCTTTGATATTCAAGTGCCAAAAGAAGGATAGAGCAGGTGCTACTCTGTGACACTACAGGTTGCAGGCTGCAATACTGGGGTATTTATTTGTGCAGCAACAGCTTCCATAATAAAGAAGAAAATTTCAACCCTGAGCTTCTTTATCTGGATATATCAGCTGAACCCATGGGCTCTCTGCCAACTGCCAATGTAGCTATCCACCAACTACAGGTAGACATCCCTGAGATGGCAATAAAAGCCTTTGCTCAAATACTGGCTCTGAAAGGATATGAATACGGAATGCATACTTACAATTTGTTTCTGTTTCAAAGGCTTCACAGAGAAACTGCCATCAACGTGCTGGGGGGTGGGGAGAGAGACATACACATTGGTTAAACACTCTATATAGAAATACTTAAAGCAGCTGTGAGGTGGACTTAGATGCCCCAGCAGGACTAGCCCTTCTTTAATCCAACTGCAAGCATCATTTGACACACTATAGCACAGATGGCCAAACCACGGCTCATGAGCTGCATGCAGCTCATCAGCACAGTACTTGCAGCTCTCCCAATTCTCCCGGGACTGCCAGCTCAGGTGCCAGGTTGCCAGGGCGGGGGCTATAGCCAAACCATTTACCCTGGGGTGTGCTCCCTGTGTGGAAACCCAGAACGGCTGGACGCTGCAGCAGTGGGGTGGGAAGAGTGAGGGGAGAAACGGGGAGTGGTCACCTCCACTCTGGATCGCTCACCCTCAGCCCACCCTACTCTCCCCCCTGGTCTCTTGAACTTCTGTGGAGGACTGGATGCAACTCCCAGGGTGACTAACTCTGGCCACCCGTGCACTATAAGAATAGAGACTGCATGCTACTTCACAAAATGCTGCAGCACTCGGGTTCTTTAAGCATTTGCCAGGTACACAGAACAGGTTGGAACATTTCAAACCAGACTTACAGATAGATGGTCCACACCTGGTCCTGGGAATGGTACTCTTAGCTTAGTTAAAAATTATAGCTCTCGGGATTTCTGCTTACTTAATAGTTAGTAATGTTATACCAGAAAAAATGCATCTACAACAGCTGTCCATCATGAGAGTCCTTCAGCCACCCCTCTACTCAGTCCTTCCAGAGCACACTGATTCTGTAATCAAGGCAACATGTGCTCCAAGATGTTTGCAGAAGAAAACAGAAAACCATACTTCTGATTTCAGAAGAAATGGCCCCACTGAAGAAAGGGGTGGTTGTGTGTTTGCCATCCAAAGATAAAGTTACACTAACTGGAGGTACAAGTGCAAAAGGTAGGTGTTGAGTATGGAAGGGCTTTCTTTATCTGCACTATCTGGCTTATGGTAAGGACATCATCTTACAGAGTGCAAAGGGAGCAAAAATCTCAAGAGACCCAGTGATAAGACCAAATAAAAACATTTTCCCTGAAGTTTCACACAGCTTGTGTGGTCTCCTCTACAGACCTACAGGGCACGAAGGAATCCAAGTTAATGTAATCATTACCTTGGGAGACTGCACTCCCCAAAAGCATTTATGTATTTCAGGATACCAGAAGTATATCCAACTACTCTGTAATAAGCCTAAACATCATGGGTTCTTGCTTTACGGATGAACAGTACAGATAAGCAGCTTTAATTACCATGAGAAAACTGCTCCATTCACCAGAAAACAAAAGATAATGGAATATATATTAGAGTAAAATAGTGTTGTCTGTACATTAATCTGCCTATAAAGGGGATTCATTAAAACCGACTTTTCTTTTCAAATGAAATCATGAAAGGAAGTTGTTCATCTGGGACCCCATCAGAAATGCCCAGAGATCATCTGCTAACTGATTAAATAACCACTAACCACTGAAAAGAACCTCTGAGGTTCAAAAAGTTAGAATTCCTTCCGAATTAATTTTGCATTTGCAGTGACTTTCTGTGGATCCCAACTGATGCAGAAACCTAACGCAGAAGGTACTCTGGCCCTACAAAAAACAAGTCTTACATCACGTCCGCACTGTAGCAGTAAACCCAGGAGATTTGGAGAAATATTCCAGCTGTTGGGTTCTCATCCAAAAGAAAAGCTTGCCCAGTGGTTCTCTAGCAAGTCAAAACTGTCCTTATTTTAAAGCTGTGACTATACTGTAGAACAGCTTCTCAAGTGTGTGAAACTAACTAAGGACAAAGGGAGCTCTTGTCCCTGTGACTTGACTTCAACCAGTGAGGGGCTCCCTCAGCGCTTGTCTGTGCCTGTGGAAACCCCTGCCTTCCCTCAGTTTGTCACAGCCAGGGTTTACTGAGATCCAAGAAGCAGTACACATGGGTTGACAGGCTTTTCATTTTGTGTATGCACAAGTCATACAGCTTTCCCACAGCAACATTTAGGGTCTAACTGTCCTATGTAGACAGCATTATTGGTTTGTATGTGTATGACTTCTTAAGGCTACAGAGATGGGTTTCATATACATAACTGGCATGAAGGGAAAGCAGCTGCTATCAACTAAAATTATATCAATTTAATAGAGTGCTTCAATCTGTGATGAAGACATTTCACTAGGACTAATTATTATTTGGCCCCTTTGCCTGAGCACAGTGGAGAGGGAGCATTCATAAGGGGCTGCAAGAGATTTCCAGATGCATCTCTTTTAGTGCTGCCTCCCCCTCAGCCAGCAGCCACTGTGCCTCCTCCATCACTAGCCCTGCATCATGACATGCTTGATGAAGATGCAAACCTGCTAAAGGAGTGGAAGCTATAAGCTTTTTAAAAACTCGTTAAATAATTAACAGCTGTGCAAGGACATTTCAAGACAGAGATGTGACATAAGTGAGAGAATCAATATGCAGCAGGGAGAGCAAGCAGGGATGCAAATGGGCAAACAGGCAAGGGGCATGGGGAAGAGGAAGGGCTTGGTTGGTGGCCGCAGCTAGAGCTGTAATTTTCTTACAACAAGATGAGCACCAGAGGCCAGGGGGAAGGGGCAGCAACTCCAACATGTCCTCTACAACTTAATATATCACACAGTAGTATAATTAAGCAGGCCACCAACCCTGGGCAATGACTTAGGGGGCATGCAAAAACATAGCAGCCACCATGACTGCCTATCTGGCACTGCAAAACTACCCAGGTACACCTCTGTACCATCTCAGGTGGACAGTGTGGCCTCAATCCTAAAGGGCAGGGCTCATAGATGGGCATGTCAGTGACCAGGAGCCCATTTCCGCCCCTCCCCCTATTTTAAACAGGAGGCAGGGCCATGATGATGACATGCTTTATATGCACCAACTTCACACCGTCAGTTAATTCCTATAGACTCTGAGAGCCCTCTATAGACAGGCCCTGAATCAAGAGCATGTGACAGACCATAAAGCGTGGTGAGGTAAGAGTGGGGAAAAGCATGATACAACTCAGGACAAGGGGTCAAGATTGCTGGACTCTAGTCCTGGCTCAACTACCAATTCTGCATGACCTGGTAAATAACATTCAACTACTTAACTACCTTATGCCTCAGTTTTCCCATTCATAAAAATTCCTGCCTGCCTCTCATGGATTGGGGGCACTGATCAATGAATGTAAAGTGTCTTGGATGGAAAGTGTTCCAAATGTGGAGTGCTATTAGCCTTGGGCACACGATTGGCACTTGTTAATAAGCCGCATTCCTGCTGTGCTTTCAGCATCTTTTTTCTTCAGTCTGCATAAGCTCATTAACAGCAGTTTCACAGAACTTCAATACTATCATTTCTGCCTATTCATTGATCTCCCTTTCACTAAATTTTATTCCCAGTTATGATGCATTTCAGAAGAGCCCAAACTTACCACCTCCTCCTCCCTCCTCCATTAATGTGCTTTGCTTTTAGCACAAAAATGTAAATTTTCTATCAAGTGTTTCAGCTCACGGGGGCATGTGGTATTCCAGTTCAGACCAAGAATCAGAGTTACAAAGGGACAGACTCAGTACAGCAAACAGAGCAATGAACCAACTTCACTGGAATTTCTCATAAGGAAATATGGTAATGGAGGGTGAACTGGTGCAAGGACAATCTCATTTCATCCATACAGCACTGGTTTTGTCAGGGTTTGTCTATATAGGAGATTTTTCCAGGATTAGTAAAGCTGTAGTGGAATACTAAACTGCTGTAGTTGTAACAGTGTAAGTTCCACATGTACGCCACAAACAGGCATCACATTTATTGTGGGACAAACCATTTATCCTGGGACAAAGTCCAATCATTCAGATGTCCAGATTAATTTTCCTGGGATAAATCCTTAAAATGGTTTGCTGCATAAGAAGTTTATCCCAGGACATCACAAAGTATGCCTGAATGGTTATCCCAGGATTGCATCATTGAATCAATGCTGGAAAAGTCCAGTGTAGTTAGCCGCTTGCTAAACCCTGATCTTAGAAGGGCGATGTGTGTGCACACCAATACCAGGACATTTCTGTTCTGGGACAAACACAGGTATAACTTGTGCAACAAATGCAACGTCTCTTCCTGGCCACAGATGCATTTATTCTGCAATAAGAATGGCTTTTTCTATCTCAAACCTGTTTCAAAGCAATGTAAACTAAAACAGAAAAAAGCCATTCATTTCAAAATAAGAGTGTCTGCATGAAAGAGTTAAACTGGCATAACTATATTGATTTTATTGATTCTAATTCACTCTCTACCTTAACATGCTTTTACTATAGGGTAAGGGGCACCAGGAAGGAACTAAATGATGACAAGTGAAAAAAAAATCAGATTGTGAAATTTCAGGTACTGCAGGCTAAATACAGAAATGGAAATGAAACCTTGAAAAGAAGTTGTCCACAGGAAAACTGAAAGGGTATTTCTATCCTGAAAAGAAATATGTAAAAAGAACCAGCCCCACTATGGTATATTCACTAAGATTTCTCCCCATAGTTCTCTTCAGTTAGAACAGGAGTGGGCAATTATTTTGAGTGGAGGGCCGTTTACCAAGTTTTGGCAAGCCATTGAGGGCCACATGGGTAGCCCCGCCCCTTGACAGGTACCCTGCCCCTTGGTCACCATCTTGGAACCATAAATCCCACCCCCTAATCCCTGAACTTTGCCATCAGAAGTCCCTCCCTTTGTCCCCAAGAAGTACTTCTTTCAGCACGGGGGTTTGCCATCTCTGAACCAGAAAAATACCAAATTAGATTCTAAAAATCAAACATGTACTACAACATTCATTAATTTCATTTAAAAAAATATTTTTGTTCTGATTTACATGCGTTTGTGTAGTGTACATAGAGGTGATGGTATAATAGCTTAAAATGAAGTTTTATTTTTGTATATTGTTGGAGGGTGTGAGCAGGTGGATAGAGTTTTTGGGGGGGGTTTGTGGGGGGCAGAATAGGCATGAGGGTGTA